AAAAAAAAAAAAGGAGCTGCCTGGGGTTCCAGCCACTTCAGCCTCCCTGAGCCTCAGTTCCCGCTGGTTTTTCCAGCCAGAAGTTATGGGGACTTCTCTTCCTGGCACTGGAACCCTGAGCAGGGCCCCTGGTGTGGGATGGGGACCCCTCAGTCCTCAGAGAGAACCTTCCCAGTCAAGGTATCCTCCTGATTTTTATCCGCCACCCATGGGACCAGCTCATCCACCTCCACCTCTCCTACCAGTCTCAATGTGGCTTCTTCTTTAATTCCATAGTTGTAGGACTTCCGTTCAGCTCAATTTCAGGCGATTTTGAATGATGCTTGTTCTGTAGTTTAGTTGTAACTTTGATGTGCTTGTGGGAGGACGCGATACCGCGTTTACCTGCGCCACCATCTTGACTGGAAGTCGCTTGTTTTTTTTCTTTATCCTCACCCTAGCACATTTTTCCATTTTTTTGTTCAGAGAGAGAAAGAGAGAGAGAGAGAGAGAGAGAGAGAGAGAGAGAGAGAGACATCTACGTGGTGAGAGAGACACATCGATTGGTTGCCACCCACACAACCCAACCAGGGCCGGTCACAAACTGCAACCGAGGTACGCGCCCTTACGGGGAACTGAACCTGGGTCTCTCTGGACTGCAGGCCGATGCTCTAACCGCTGAGAAAAACTGTCCAGGGCGATCTGTATGTGTTTTTATGCCAGTACCATGCTGTTTCAATTATGTCCTTGTAGTATAGTTTGATATCAGGTAGCATGTTTCCTCCAACTTTGTTCTTCTTTCTATTCGGGGTCTTTGTGTTTCCATATATATATTTTTGGAATATTTGCTCTAGTTCTGTGAAATACGCCATAGGTGTCTTGTTAGGAATTGTGTTGAATCTATATTATTGCTTTGGGTAGTATGGACATTTTAATGATGTTAATTTTTCCTGTCTATGAACATGGCATATGCTTCCAATTATTTGTATCTTCTTCAATTTCTTTCTTTCTTTTTTATAATCCTCACCCAAGGACATTTTTTCGATATTTTGTTCAGATAGAGTAGGAGGGAGGGAGAGAGAGAGAGAAACATTGACGTGAAAGGGACACATCGAGTGGTTGCCACCCACACGACCCAACCAGGGCCGGGGACAAACTGCAACTGAGGTATGTGCCCTTAGCAGGAACTGAACCTGGGTCTCTCTGAACTGCAGGCCGATGCTCTAACCGCTGAGCCAAACCGGCCAGGGCTGTATCTTCTTCAATTTCTTTGTTCAGTGTCTTATTGTTTTCTGAGTACATGTCTTTTACATCCTCGGTTAAATTTATTCCTAGGTAGTTTGTTTTTTGATGCAACTATATGATTTTTTTTTTATCCTCACCCAAGGACATTTTTTTGCATTTATCTTTAGATAGAGCAGGAGGGAAAAGGGGGGGAAGAGATAGAAACATCGATGTGATTATACTACAAAGCGACTGTAACCAAAACAGCCTGGTACTGGCACAAGAACAGGCATATAGACCAGTGGAACAGAACTGAAAACCCAGAAATGGACCCAAGGCAAAACGCTCAATTAATATTTGACAAAGGTGGCAAGAGCATAGAGTGGAGTAAAGACAGCCTCTTTAATAAATGGTGTTGGGAAAATTGGACAGCTACATGCAAAAAAATGAAACTAGACCATCAACTTACACCATACACCAAAATAAACTCAAAATGGATAAAAGACTTAAATGTGACCCGTGAATCCATACAAATTCTAGAAGAAAATGTAGGCAACAAAATTTTGGACATCATACGGAGCAGAATTTTCACTGATACATCACCTAAGGCAACAGAAATAAAGGAGAAAATGAACACATGGGACTACATCAAACTAAAAAGCTTCTGCACAGCAAAAGAAACAATCATCAAAATGGAAAGGCAACCCACTGTATGGGAGAACATCATTGCCAATGACGTATCAGATAAGGGGTTAATTTCCAATATATATAGAGTGCTCATACAACTCCACAAAAGGAAGACAAAGAACCCAATTAAAAAGTGGGCAGAGGAGCTGAATAGACACCTCTCCAAACAGGACATACAAATGGCCAAGAGACATATGAAGAAATGCTCAACATCACTAATCATCAGAGAGATGCAAATTAAAACAACAATGAGGTATCACCTCACACCTGTCAGAATGGCCGCCATCAACAAATCATCAAACAACAAGTGTTGGCGAGGGTGTGGAGAAAAGGGGACTCTAATACACTGCTGGTGGGAATGCAGACTGGTGCAGCCACTATGGAAAACAATATGGTGCTACCTCAAAAAATTAAAAATTGAACTTCCATTGACCCAGTGATCCCACTGCTGGGAATATACCCTAAGAAGCCTGAAACACCAATCAGGAAGAATATATGTACTCCCATGTTCATAGCAGCACTATTTACAATAGCTAAGATCTGGAAACAGCCCAAGTGTCCACCAGTAGACGAATGGATAACAAAGCTGTGGTACTTATACACAATGGAGTACTATGCAGCGGTAAGAAAGAAAGATCTCTTATCCTTTGAGACGACATGGAGGGACCTGGAAAGTATTATCCTAAGTGAAAGAAGCCAAGCAGAAAAAGACAAATACCACATGATCTCACTTATATATGGAATATAATGAGCATAACAGTCTGAGGAATACAGTAGACCCAGACACATGGAAGTAGGGCACAGACTGACATCCCTCAGAAGAGGGGATGGGGGGTGGGGGGGGGGTGGGAAGAGATAAACCACAGAACTTATATGCATGTATGCATGACCAATGGACATGGACAACTAAGCCGGGGACAGAGTGGAGGGGGGGTGGGGTGGGGGGTGCCAATGGGGTAAAAAGGTAAAATATCTGTAACAAAAAAATAAATAAATAATTCATTTAAAAAAAAAGAAACATCGATGTGAGAGAGACACACCGACTGGTTGCCACCCATACAACCCCAACCAGGGCCAGGGACAAACTGCAACTGAGGTACGTGCTCTTAGCGGGAACCGAACATGGGACTCTGGTCTGTGGGCCGATGCTCTACCCGCTAAGCCAAACTGGTGAGGGCTTGATGCAACTATAAATGGGATTATTTTCTTAGTTCTCCTTTAAAAAAAAAAAAAAAAATTCTCTCTTTTTTTTTTTTTATCCTCACCCGAGGATATTTTTCCATTTTTTGTACAGATAGAGTAGGAGGTAGAGAAAGGAAGGGAGAGAGAGAAACATTGATGTGAAGGGACACATCGAGTGGCTGCCACCCGCACGACCAACCAGGGCCGGGGACAAACTGCAACCGAAGTACATGCCCTTAGCGGGAACCGAACCCGGGTCTCTCTGGACCGCAGGCCGACGCTCTAACCGCTGAGCCAAACTGGCCAGGGCCTCTCTTTTGTTGAGAGTATGACAGATGTCCCCCCTTTTTTTCTTCCTCATTGTCCCCCTCCACCAGGCTCCTGCCCTACCCCTTAGATTCCCCTTCTTTTTTTTTTTATTTACTTATTTGAGAGAGAGAGGAAGGGAAAAGGAGAGATAGAAACAGTGATGAAATAGAACGTTGATTGTCCGCCTCCTGCATGCCCCCCACTGGGGATTTGGCCCACAACCTGAGCACGTGTCTTGACTGGGAATCGAATGGGTGACCTCTTGGTGCATGGGTCGATGCTTAACTACTGAGCCATACCAGCCGAGCTAGAGTCTCCTTGATAGTTCATTATTGGTGTATAAAAATGCAAATGATTTCTCGATATTTATTTTGTATCCTGCTACTTGACTGAATTCATTTACCAGTTCAAGTAGTTTTTTGGTGAAATCTTTAGGGTTCTCTCTGTATAGTATCATGTCATTTACAGAGCAGTCTTAGTATTGCATGTACTTTTCTGAAACTCATCAGTTTCAGTCCTGAAGTTATTTTGATTTCTCTGCCTTGATCTCCAAAGGCAACAAGAAGAAACTCCGATTTCCTCCCAAGGCGTAACACTTAAGAGAGTGCTGTCAAGACAGCATGTGCCCTCAGTTAAAATGCTTCTATGAATTCAAATCGGAAGCTCAGTAGGCCAGGACTTCCAAGTGAAGCCCACCAGGAGTATGAGCAGAGTTTTCCAGGTGAGGACTGATATTTTGGTTATAGAACTGCTCATTGCTGAGTCTCCTCTAGGGAAAATAAAAGAGCAGCAGCTAATGGATGAGTGTCAAGTTGGGGGCGTGTAGTGACATGAAGATATAAAACTGAATAAACAGCCCTGGCCAGTTTGGCTCAGTGGTTGGAGCATTGGCCTGTGGTCCAGAGAGACCCAGGTTTGGTTCCTGCTAAGGGCATGTACCTCGGTTGCAGTTTGTCCCCAGCCCTGGTTGGGTTGTGCGTGCGGGAAGCAGCCACTTGATGTGTCCCTTTCACGTCGATGTTTCTCTCTCTGTCTCTTCCTCTCTCTCCCTCCCACTCTATCTGAACAAAAAATGGAAAAATGTCTCGGGTGAGGACTAAAAAAAAACCTCCAGGTGATCCTAATGCATGCTTAAGTTTGAGTACTAGGTTTTGACTGTTTTTATTTTTTTATTTAATTAATTAATTTTTGTTACAGATGTTTTTCCTTTTTCCCCCATTGATATCGCCCTGCCTCTCCCTCCCCGCCCTGTCCCCAGTTTGTTGTCCATGTCCACTGTTCATGCATACATGCATATAAGTTCTGTGGTTTATCTCTCCCCCACAACCCCCTCTTCTGGGGATTGTTAGTCTGTACCCCACTTCCACGTCTCTGGGACTACCCCATTCCTCAGACTGTTATGTTCATTATATTCCACAAATAAGTGAGATCATATGATACTTGGGTTTGACTGTTTTTATAAAGGATCATAGAATAAATGTTTTTAGCTTTACAGTCTCTGTTACAACTACTCGCCTCTGCCAATGTAGTGTGAAAGCAGCAATAAATGATATGTAAATGAACGAGCATGGCCTTGCTCCAATAAACCTTTATTACAAAAACAAGCAATGAGGTTTTGGAACTAGATAGAGGTGGTGATTGTACGCCATTGTGAATGTATTAAATACCACTGAATCAGTCACTTTAAAATGGTTTGTTTTGTTGTATGTGAATTTCACCTCAATAAATTATTTTTTAAAAACACCCATTATCAGCAGATTTTTATTAGATGGAGGATAACGAGGGCTGGCTCAGAGGAAAGTGGTGACAAGTGACAAGCACTCCTCCACAGAGGACAGGAGGCATCACTGGCTGTGGGATGGATACTTATATCTAAGGGGTAGGGTCTCCTGTTTAACTTGGCACTCAGTATCACCAGTGCTGGCATGAAAGAGTATGCAATGAGCTAGTTCAGCTTGGCTAAGAGTTCTTCTAGTTCTGGTCGAGCTTTGAACCGTCCCTTGAAGTCTTCTTCAGTGTGCTGGGGAGAAGAAAAAGAAAATAAGTGGGAATTATTGAAAAGCTTTCAGTTATTCAAATATGCACAGCATCAAAAAAGGATCCACCATCCGGCTCTATAGAGAAAGAATCAGATTCAGCTAACTTTTATTGTGTGTACAAGACTTATATTGGGTACCAAGGATTCAAAACTGAATTAGACTTTCTCCCTGCCTTAAATTAACATATGGTCTGGTGAGAGAAAACAGATTTATAAAGAACTAATGTCAAAAGTCTGTAAGTATCACAATAGAAGCACTTAAAAAAGAGAGAGAGAGAATGTCAAAATTCTCCACTTCAAATAAGAAATAACAGACATAGGGATTGGAATATTTCAAGTCAGCATGACCAGCACATTTTCTCTTTATATACAGATCTACAGTAATAAGCAGAGGCTTAACTAGCATGTATTCAGAACAAGGGAGCTGCATGAAGCAAATGGGATCAGTCTAAGATGACCTGATGTATCTGTGTCATAATAAGGATCATCATGGTAACATGATGAATATTTAGGCTAAAGTTCCTAATGTATTCCAAGTTTTCCATGGCAAACTTCCTTCTGATTGGCATTCTTTACTGAATATATTCAGTCAAGGTATAGTAAAGCCTCAAAGATCCAAGAATCTTTTCTCTAAGGTACATTTCCCTATTTGTTATACTATTTCCCTGATTAGTTATACTGTACATGATCTTAGATGATGCTCTCTCTGCTACACAACTGCCTGAGGGAGAGAATGTTGAGGTGTAATGGGCTCACCCCTAACATCAGAATGCTGTGATGGATTTCAGCTTGTGGTCCATAAAGCATCATCCCTGAAGAGCCAGAATAATGATCACAGTAATACCAGCCTGCACACCTTTCCTGATTATTATCTGGGCTAACTTATCCACATTTCTTTGTTGTTTCTAGAGCCAGGCAATCTAGATATTTTGAGCACAGGTGGTCCATCAGGAGACCTCTTCTCAAACTAGCACTTACCTCCTTCACTGACAATTTGACTCCCTCCGGAAGATTGCTTTGGATTATTTCCAAGAAAATCTCTGCAAATGTAGCACTCAAACCACTTATCTGAAAAGGAAAGAAGATGCTCTAATAGAGGTGCTAAAAGCTAGGTGATTGGGAGACATGGCATGGGCTCAAATGTCAGCTCTAGCAGAGCTAGACGGCCTTTGGGTGAAGGATTATCACCAAGAGCTGGTTTCGGAGCTCAGCCTCTACAGGATTTCTCTTGCTCTCTGCCAATGTGTCGGCTTGCTGAGGTCATGGCCCATATCTGCTCCTGTAGGCAATGGATGTCATAATTGGACCAAAAAAGTTATCAAGTCCAGGATGACTTTCTGATTCAACTCAAGTTAACCCACATAAACCAGATGTGACTGGTGTCAGACCCTGTGCTGAGAATCCAGAGGTGAATCAGATGCATGGTAGAAGGGTATGAAGGGGGCTACAGAAACCCACTAGAGAAGGACCTACCTAAATTAATCAGAGGAGGTCAAAGAAAGCATCCAAAAGAGGTAATATCTGGGTGGGGTGTTGAAGAAAAACAGGAGTAATCTGGGAGAATTCAACAGCAGTAGGAGTTTTCAAGGCATAGCAAGCAATATTCAGTACAATGTGAAGGTATAGCCTGTACTAGGGAATTAAAACTAGTTCCATGTGTAGCTGGAATGAATGGGGTATGAAGAAATGCAAGAGAATCGTGAAGGCAGTTAGGTGCTAATCTAAAGAGTTCAAACTTCATCCTATGAGCCTCAGTGGCAAATTAGATCTGTTATAAGATATATCTCAAATAATTTATTTATGATAATATTTATTTAAAAATTTGTTTTCTTGTTGGTTTTAGAGAGAGAGGAAGGGAGAGTGAGAGATAGAAATATCAATGAGAAAACATCGATTGGCCGCCTCCTGCATGCTGCCCACTGGGGATTTGGCCCACAACCTGGGCATGTGCCCTGACCAGGAATCAAATTGGTGACCTCACAGTACATGGGTTGATGCTCAACCACTGAGCCAGACTGGCTGGGCAAATCTTTGGCTCTTTAAATATTATCAGAAATAGCTCAGCTGGTGTGGCTCAGAGGTTGAGTGTCAACCCATGTACTATGAGGTCACCAGTTTGATTTCTTTTTTTTTTATCCTCACCCGAGGACATTTTTCCATTTTTTTTTTTGTTCAGATAGAGCGGGAGGGAGAGAGAGGAAGAGAGAGAGAGAGAAACATCGACGTGAAGGGACACATCGAGTGGCTGCCACCCGCACGACCAACCAGGGCTGGGGACAAACTGCAACCGAGGTACGTGCCCTTAGCGGGAACCGAACCCGGGTCTCTGTGGACCGCAGGCTGACGCTCCAACCGCTGAGCCAAACCGGCCAGGGCACCAGTTTGATTTCTGATCAGGGCACATGCCCAGGTTGTGGGCCAAATCCCCAGCTGGCAGCATGCAGTAGGAGGCCATTCGCGCTCTCTCGCTCTCTCTCTCTCTCTCTCTCTCCCTTCCTCTCTCTCTAAAACCAATAAAAAAATTTAATAAAATAAAATAAAAGAACCAAAGATTTTAAGTACTTTAATTATTTAAAAAAATTAACATAGAAGTACAGCTGGTGTAGCTCAGTGATTGAGCGTCGACCCATGCACCAAGAGGTCGCCGGTTTGATTCCCAGTCAGGACAAATGCCCAGGTCATGGGCCTGATCCCCAGTGTGGGGCATGCAGGAGGCAGCCAATCGATGTTCTCTCTCATCGATGTTTCTATCTTTCTCTCCCTCTCACTTCCTCTCTCTCTAAAATCAATAAAGGAAAAAAAAGTAACATAGATTTAAGATGTTACTACCTTAACATTCATTACCTTGCTGATATATTTCTTGAGTGGATCAAAAAGGAGTGATGTCCATTGGAATATTATTTGGCAATAAAAAGGAATGAAGTACTGATACACGCTACAAGGATGAACCCTGAAAATATTATGCTAAGTGAAATAAGCCAGACATAAAAGGCCATATATTGTACAATTCTATTTAAATGAAATGTCCAGAAGAGGTATAACCATAGGGGCAGAAAGTAGATTAGTGGTTGCTAGGAGTCAGGAAATGGGGAAAGACGAATGACTACTAATGGGTACAGAATTTCTTTTGGGGGTGATGAAATGTTCTAATATTGACTGGTGATGGATGCATAACTCTGAATATACGAAAACTCATTTAACTGTACATTTTAAGTGAGTAAATTGCATGGGAATAAAACTCTCAATAAAGCTCTTATAAAAAGGGGGGATGGAATGCCTGGCCGGTGTGGCTCAGAGGTTGAGCACTGACCCATGCACCAAGAGGCCGCTGGTTTGATTCCCAATCAGGGCACATGCTCAGGTTGTGGGCCCGATCCCCAATGTGGGGCATGTGGGAGGCAGCCAATCGATGTTCTCTCTCATCGATGTTTCTATTTCTCTTTCCCTCTTCCTTCCTCTCTCTAAAAATCAATAAAGGAAAAAAAAATTTTTTAAAGGGGGTGGGAATGATGTTAACTGAAATTTTAATAGTTCTGAGCACGCTCATGATGGTGTGGTTGTCACCCATCTACCTCTGCAATAAAAAGACGGAGAACCACTGCTAGAGCTAAAGGGAAGCCACTGAGGGGTTTTAAGCAGGAAAATGAAGTGATCACAGTGTTAAGAGGGTAGAGCAAAGTTGAAGAATCTAAAAGATATTTAGGGGTAGAAAATTTAGAATTTGGTGAATGAATGGGTATCAGAAAGCAAAGAAAGATCAAACATTAGGCTCAAATGTGGGGACAAGTCTATAAAAAAGGAACATCAGTTCCTCTACAATTAGTATAAGCACTGAGTGTAGAATACCTATGGAACATCCCAGTAGAGAAGTCTAGCAGACAACTAAATATCAGGTTTGAAGCTCAACCAATAGATCAGAACTGATCTAGGTGTTATCAGTATACTAACAGTTACTGAGATCAGGGGAATTAATGAGCTTACATAGCGGAAAGGTTTTACATAAGGAGAGATGGAGGAATCAAGAACTGAAACCTGTCCAGCCAGTGTGGCTCAGTGGTTGAGCATTGACCCATGCATGCACCAAGAAGTTGCTGGTTTGATTCCTGGTCAGGACACATGCCCAGATTGTGGGCCCGATCGCCAGTGTGGGGCATGCAGGAGGCGGCCAATTGATGTTCTCTCTCATCGATGTTTCTCTCTCTCTCTCCTCTTCCTTCCTCTCTCTCTAAACTCAATAAAGAAAAACAAAAAACAAAACGGAAACCTGCAGAACATCATCATTCAAGGGGCAGGTGAGAGGAAGAGATGGGCATGGTAGAAGGAGGGAAAATGGAGAGAGAGAAGAATCAAGGCAGGCAAATAGATTTCAAGTTTCTCCCAGAATGCCTACCTGAACCACTCGCTCATGGGTGGTAAGAACTGCATCCACAAACATTTTGCTGCCTTGGTCCTGCAGCCGTAACACCTCCATGGTTTTGGTGGGCATCGCATAACTGTGGAAAGGAAGAGTCAGCTATGGGGAGGGTTCTCTTAAGCCAGCTGCAACACTTCAGTCAGGGTAGTCCCTGAGTTCCACCACTACTGCATGCATCGTTCCTGGAATCTAGGGCTGTTAGGCAGGGCAAAGTAGTCAGAACCTCTTAAACCTTCTCCAGAAGTCTCTAAACTCCCTGAGAAGATAGAGGATGTCTAACACTTTTCTGCATCCCCAATCTTGCTTAATATAACACTCTGAATAAAAACTGGTGATTAATAAGTATTTGCTGCTACTAAAGAATAGCTAAAAGAATCACTAGGTATGCTTTGGAGACTAACTTTGGGTATTTCCCCTCTTCTGGTGAAATAAGGCCTGAAATCCAGATGTTTTAGAGTAGGATTTCTCAACCTCAACACTGTTGACATTTTAGACCAGATAATTCTTTGTTGTGGGGGAATGACCTACACACCCCTGACACCTACACACCAGATAGATGCCAGTAATACCCCCACCCCCACCAAGTGGTGACAATCAAAGTTATCTCCAGACATTGTTAAATGTCCCCTAGTTGAGAACCACTATTGTAGAGTCTATGCTCACTATAATCAGCTTCAGCATATCTCATGCTACAGTGGAAAGAACATTGGACTTGGGGTCAAATGTTGGTCCTGCCACTTATTAGCAATATTTACTAATCCTCTGAGAAGAGGATTACAATCTAGGCCTATATCACTAGATTACTGTGAGGATTAGGTGTGATGATGAGATAGGACTGATGGCTACACAGAAATATGGTAGTAGTGTTCATCTTATCAAAAAGTTAATCAAACTTAAGATAAATGGAATAATAATAACAGTAGAATTCCTGAATTTTCATGCTATAAAAAGCTTCATTAATTAACAGCAGGGGACATGGCCCTCTACAGATGGACTGCTACAAAAAAAAGTTTTATATAATGGAAAATGGATTTGATACATGACAGTCCATCCTAAATTTAAATGTTGACCCTGCCACTTACTACCTATTTGATCTTGGACAAATTAATTCACCTTTCTGAGTCTCAGATTCTTCAGCTATAAAATGAAGATAATAATAACTAGTTACAGGGTTGTTACAATGATTAAATAAGATTACATAGTAATTTTCCTGACATACTATGCCGACAAATGCCAGTTTCCTTGCTCTTACTAACAGTGAGTAAATGCTAGGTATTGCAAATTCTTCCAGGAAGCCTTCCTAAATAACATTCCCTTCCACTTTTCAGCACAATCTCTGCTTCCAGTTCAAATTTGGCAGTATCTGCCAAATTTATATGATACACACACACACACACACACACACATATACACACATACATATATAACATATATATATATACACATACATACATATATATACATTCATAGACTTATATATAAAATGATACATTCATAGACTTGTTATGGAAGATCAAGTAAAATAGCTATGTAAAAGCTTTCACTCTAAAATGTTACTTTTCTTTCTGTTTTTTTAATCCTCACCGGAGAATATTTTCACATTTATCTTTAGACAAAGTGGGAGGAGGGAGAGAGAGAGAGAGAAACATCGATTGGTTGCCACCAGCATGACCCCACCCGGGGCTGGGGGCTAACTACAAATGAGGTACATGCCCTTGTTCGGAAATTGAACCCATGACCCTTTGGTCCTTGGGCTGATGCTCTAACTGCTGAACCAAACCAACCAGGGCTAAAATGCTATTTTTCCTTTTTTGACATTCTGCAGATAAGAGTTGTCCATTCCTGCTACTGAGCATACATTTTATTCTTCAACCCTTTATCAAGATTTCATTGATTTGTTTATTTATTCATTCATTCAACAAACATTTACTAAGAGCCTGTTCTGTCCCAGGCACTCTGTGGACAATATATAGCCTGTGCTTTAAAGGAGTTCGCTAAAGCCCTGGCCAGTTTGGCTCAGCGGTTAGAGCGTCGGCCTGTGGTCCGGAGAGACCTGGGTTCGGTTCCCGCTAAGGGCGCATACAGTTTGTCCCCAGACCTGGTTGGTCGTGCGGGTGGCAGCCGCTCGGTGTGTCCCTTTCACATCGATGTTTCTCTCTCTCTCTCTCTTCCTCTTCCTCTCTCTCCCTCCCACTCTACCTGAACAAAAAATGGAAAAAGTCCTCGGGTGAGGATAAAAAAATAAAAATAAAAAAAAATAAAGGAGTTCGCTAAAGCCTTGACTGGTTTGGCTCAGCGGTTATAGCGTCAGCCCACAGACCGAAGATTCGATTCCCGGTCAAGGGCACATACCTGGGTTGCAGGTCCAATCCCTGACCCAGTCAGAGTCGTGCAGGAGGCAACCAATCAATATGTCTCTCTCACATCAATGTTTCTCTCTCTCCCTCCCTCCCTTCCATTCTATCTAAAAAATCAATGTCCTCGGGTAAGGACTAAAAATAAATAAATAAGTAAATAAATAAATAAATAAATAAATAAAGGGCCTTGCTAAGAGTGTTTTGTACAGACAGGTAAGCAGAAAATCTTCACTACAGTAAGACAAAGACAATAATAGGTTATGTACCAAATGTTATAGGGACAAGAAGGAGAGAAGGGGGAGCTCAGGGAAGCCTTCATAGGTGAAGTAGTATTGAGATGTAAAGAATGAACAGAGGTGTTTGCTCAAAGAAGTGCAGCAGTTATCTACAAAGGCAAGGGGGCATGAGAGGCTCTCAAAGAGAACCAACAGGAAAACCAGACATAGTTTGGTAAATAAATACTGGGAACTCTGGGCATTTCAAAGTAGAACAGGCCTTTGAGTAGTAAGAGTATAGAGAATTTTCCATTAGTGTCTATACTTTTCTGTATTTGCCAAATTTTCTACAATAAACATTACTTGGATGATGGCATAGTAAAAACAGGATGAAAGAAATGAAATAACTGAATTTCAAGAGTCAACCTAACATGACAAAGTAATGTTACTTTTTGGGAGTACTACCTGAAACAGGACAGAAGCGAGCCACCTATGGTGCTAGGGAACTTGGAATCCATGGACTCTACTATATAAGTTATATCTGCATTTTAAACAATGTAAGTGAACTTAAAAAGGAAAGAGTAGGCTTACAGAGAGTGATGCTGAACAATGCTGTTACTCTCCAAAGAGCACAGGAACTAGATCAGCTTCAGGCTTGGAAGCTGCTCCCAGAAGAATAAGATTTCCATCTCTTCAAGCACCTGCTCAGCAAGGGAAGCAGGCGAATTAAGGGACCTGCATGAGAGACCCCTTCCTCTCCTGTCCTCTCTTCTCCTAGGTTAGTTGCAGCTACAGCAAAGCAGACCATTTATAGAACAAAAGCCAGCACACTGCTCCTTTGCTCAATTCTATCTCAAGGTCAAAGCCTTACTCCTCACTCTCAGAGGAAAATGGATCATGATGAAATGAAAATCCGAAGAAAAATTTGTTTCATCTCTGAAAAGCTGGGCAGTGACAATGCCTAATAATATAATGGTCTGAAAACCTCAATCAATGCAGAGAAGTGAGTTGCTGAAAATAAGTATCTCTTTGTGCTCTATGCTATTTAGAGCAAAAAGCCAGGAAAGAGGCAAAAAAACAGCACATCATTCATTCTGCTGTTCTAGGAATCATGTCCATGCCTATTGGAACTCAATCGAAGTCAACAAATATTTGTTCATTGCCTATTATGTGTCAGGTACCAGGCAAGGTCTTAGGGTCATTAGACTGCTGATGGAGACAGAAACAATCCTTGCCTTATGGATCTTAAAGTCTAATAAGGAAGACCAGTAAAAGCCAAGTAATTACAAGGGTAAGGAATGACTGCTATGAAAGGGAAGTTATGTAATCTTCACTTCTACTAAATATATAATATAGGACCTAATTTAATGAGATTCTCTGAAGAAGTGACATTCAAGATTAAACCTAAGGAAAAAATAGGAGTTAGTTAGGTGAAGGGAAAAGAGTATTATAAGCTTTAGAGAACTTATGCAAAGGTCCTTAGGTGGATAGGGACAAAAACAAAGCTGGTGTTAATTGGATGGAGAAGGAAATATGAGTTAAAGCCCAGGCCATGGGGTACCTAGTAAGTCATGTGAGGACCTTTAATTTGATCCTAAAAGAATGGGAAACCATGGAAGGAATTTAAGCATGGGAATGACATGATCTTATTTCTATTCTTGAAACATCACACTGAAAGCTGTATGGAGAACCAGTTAGGAAGGATTGAGAATTTGAAAAAAAGTGGGTTCAAATCCAGACCTTGCTATTTATTAGGGGTATAATTATAGGCAAATAATAATAATAATAATAATAATAATAATAATAATGGCAGCCAAGAGTTGCTGGGAACTGTTGTAAACACTTTAAATATATTAACTCCCTTCATTTTTCCTATAGACTTTTTAGGCAGGTACTTTAATTAACACCATTTTTTAAATGAGGAAACTAAGACACAAAGAGGTTAAGTAAACTGCCCAGTGTTACACAACAAGAATATGGCAGAGCACAAATAAAACCTAGGTGGTCTGGCTCCAGAGCTGAGCTTTGATTCACTATGTACAAAATGCTTGTTTGAATTAAGTAACAATATACAAAAACTGTACTTAGCAGAGTGGCTGGCTGATAGTAGGTACTCAACAAATGCTACTGCCTTCTTGCCTTTATTCAAATGCAGCCAGAGTTTTTCACAGCTGGATTTTAAAAACAGCACCTTTTAAAAAGTTCTTCTGAGCCCTGGTCGGTTTGGCTAAGCAGTTAGAGCGTTGGCCTGCGGTCCAGAGAGACCCGCGTTTGGTTTCCGCTAAGGGCACGTACCTCGGTGCGGTTTTGTCCCGGCCCTGGTTGGTCGTGCGGGTGGCAGCCACTTGATGTGTCCCTTTTGCATTGATGCTTCTCTCTCTCTCTCTCTCTCTCTCTTCCTCTCTCTCCCTCCCACTCTGTCTGAACAAAAAATGGAAAAATGTCCTTGGGTGAGGGTTAAAAAAAAAATGACATAAAAGCACTATCATTGCCCTGGCCAGTTTGGCTCAGCAGTTAGAGCGTCAGCCCTCAGACCAAAGTCGCAGGTTTGATTATGGTCAAGGGCACATACCTTGGTAGCAGTTCGGTCCCCGGCCCTGGTTGGGGTCGTGCAGGAGGCAGCCAGTCAATGTGTGTCTCTCGCGTTGATGTTTCTCTCTCTCTCTCTCTCTCTCTCTCTCTCTCTCTCTCTCTCGACCCTTCCCACTCTATCTGACGATAAAAGGAAAAAATATCCTCGTGTGAGGATTAAAATAAAAGGATTATCATTAAACTTTAGGAAATGTACACCACACAAGTGGATTGTGCAGTCATACTGAAGAACCTGTCATTCTTTCAACAATGGCTTAATGTTCCCCATGTGGCAGGCAGGTCCTGTGCAAGGTGCTGAAGAAATAAAGAACACAGTCCTCATCTAGTCAGTGGGGAGGGGAGCTGACACATGAATAAACGATTACAGCCCAAAGCACTAAGTGACGTGACAGAGGTGTGTGTCAAGTGCTGCAAAAGCAACTGACTCTCTGTGGCATCAGAAATAGATAAAACACATCTTTAGGCCTAAAACAATTGAAGTACTATCTGCTGGGAGAGCTAAAATCACCCCTTATTATCAAGTCTTCCAAATTGCACATTTAGCACAGTTATACTCTAAGTTACAAAGGTTCAAAAGTTCAAATTTGGCTTAATGACTTAAAACAAGACCCTATAGAATTAAAAATACTGGAGTCAGGCAGAACTAGGTTAAATCCAGGCAAGTTACTAGTTCTGTGACTTTTGGCTATTCTGAGTCTTCGTTTCCTCATCTGTACAATGGGAATATACTAATATCTATCTAGTGAGCAAGAAAGTATAATTTTTGCCATATTCATATATATATATTTTTTTAAATAAAGATTTATTTATTTCTTTTTGGTGGTATGTGCCCCTAGTGGAAACCGAACCCGGGACTCTCTGGTCCGCAGGCTGATGCTCAACCGCTGATCCAAACTGGCCAGGGCGCCATATTCATATATTCTTGTCACAAAAGCAAACCACCCAAACTATTATTTATTAAATATTTTTCATTAAGTCAGCACACTTAAAAAATTAATTAAAAAAACAAACAAACTTGAGATGTTAAACAACTGGAACTCATGTTGCTGATGAGAAAGAAAATGGTACAGCCAGTTTAGAAAACAGTTTGGCAGTTTCTTATAAATTTAAACATACATTACACGTAACCATTTGACCCTTTAATTATACTCCTAGAGAAATGAAAACTTAAGTTCTCACAAAAATGTGTACATATTTATATTGGCATTATTCATAATTGCCCCAAACTGGAAACAACACAAATGTTCTTCAACTGGTGAAATGCTAATCAGCAACAAAAAGGAACAAACAACTTGATCCTGGCAACAACATGGATGAATCTCAGATACATTATCTTGAGTGAAAGAAGCCAGACTCACAAGGAAAAATACTGTATGATTCTACTAATATGACATTCTAGAAGACAAAAATTATAGGGACAGAAAATAGATCATTATTTGCCAGGGAATGGAGATATGGGGAGGGAATGACTACAAAGGCAGGAAGGAACTGCTTGAGATGATGGAAATGTTCTATATCTTGATAATGATGATATTTACTCTCTAATGTGTATATTTGTCAAAGCTCAGAAATTGTTCAGTAAGGGTGAATTTTTACTGTATATAAATTATATATCAATAAACCTGATTTTGTATTACTACGATAAGTGGAAAACTAGTATCAGCTGTCATAAATAGAAAGTAAGTTAAAAATAAATACAGTGAAAACAAAATAATGTTATAAAATTCTAGCTAGATTCTAGTGCTAGCTACAGACTTTGAGCCAGAGGTCCCCTCTCTGTCATAAAGATTAGGAAGTGCTAGAGTGGTGTTAAGAACATACCAGAACCACACCAAGAATTTCTCCTTGACATACTAAGTTGAATGAGAATTAAAAAGGGATGAGATTTCTCATCATATGATTTAATGTTATTTAAGGCAAACCACAGAACAGCCTACACTTTCTGAAACACTGAGATATGTAAAGTGGCTCAGTTGGTTGGAACATCATCTAGCACACTGAAAGGTCACAGGTGCAATTCCCCATCAGGGCACATATCCAGGTTGTGGGTTTGATCCCAGGTCGAGGTGCTGACGGAAGGCAACCAGTCAGGCCACGATCGATGTTTCTCTCTCACATTGATGTCTCTCTCTCTCTCTCTCTCTCCATCCCCCCTTCCCCTCTCTCTGTAATCAATAAGAACATATCCTTGGGTGAGGATTGAAATAAAAATTTTAAAGATATGTAGCCCGGCCGGGCTCAGAAGATAGAGCGTCATTCCATGGACTGAGAGGTCCCCGTTCGATTCCCCGTCAGGGCACATGCCTGGGCTATAGGCTCAATCCCCAGTAGAGGGCATGCAGGAGGCATCCAATTAAAGTTTCTCCCTCACATCAATGTTTCTATCTCTCTCTCCCTACAAAATCAATAAAAAAATTTTTAAAAAAAAAAAGATACATAAAGTACCTGGCCTAGAGTAGATAGTAAATGTCAGTTATCCTCCCCTACAGTTTTCCAACAAATCCAAAGAGTAAATGTGTTTATTTTTTAATTTTTAAAATTTTTTATTATTTATTTATTTATTTATTTATTTTTGGTATGTGTTCCTTGCAGGAACCGAACCCGGGACTCTGGTCTGTAGGCTGATGCTCCAACCGCTGAGCCAAACCAGCCAGGGCAAAGAGTAAATGATTTTAATTTTTTTTGTTAATCCTCACCCAAGGATATTTTCCCATTGTCTTTTAGATAGAGTGAAAAGGAGGGAGGGTGAGAGAGAGAGAGAAACATCGACATGAGAGAGACACATCAACTGGTTGCCTCCCCCACAACCCCAACTGGGGCTGGGGATTGAACCTGAGCGGGAATTGAGCTGAGACTCTTCAGTCCATAGGCCAATGCTCTAATCACTGAACAAAACTGGCCAAGAATGTTCTATATTTTTATTGTGGCAAAGTATATACCTAAAAAAGGGTGAATTTTATGGCACATAAATTATATCTGAAAACCTCATTTAACAATAACAAAGCAGAGCATGTAACCCACACCAAGAGTATTTCATGCAAAGGCATCCTTCGTACCTTTCCTCCACTTTAATGGAGAGATGGTTGCAGAGGTTGTGAACATATTGGGCATAACTCTCTACCAGGGCCATGTCATATGCAGTCATGTGAATGTTCAAAAGCCCATATTCATAATCTGTCCCCAAATTAATGGGTCTCACTTCTACTTTTCCCCTCTTCTTGGGCTAAACAGAAAACAAAAAGAGAAAGGTAAATCAAACTATTACACAAGAAATTCTATTCATACTATCAGATATTAAAACATCAATCTTTCATATAAATTTGTTTACCAGTTTTCTCTCAGGTTACCGTACCTACAAAATGAAGTTCTCCTGGAAAGGAGTGGGCAGCTTTCCTTGCTAGTCTGGGCTGTGACATCAGTCAATGAGAGGGAAGGGAATATTGCTGGCATTACTTTAAGATGAATACAAGTGACTGTCTTCTACAACGAACTTGTCTTGAGACTCACCTTTCATCTCTGGCCCCCAGTTCCCTAATTTTTAAATTGATGGGTTTATGCTAAGTAATAGATTCTTAATCTAGAACCCACAGAGGAATTTCAAGGAGTCTGTCAAGCCAAAATTTATATGCAAAATTTTACACATGTGCACATTTGAGAGAATTCTTAGCTTACATCAGAATCTTAAAGAAATCAATTGCACCCTGGCCGGTTTAGCTCAGCAGTTAGAGCGACGGCCCACAGGCAGAAGGGTCTCGGGTTCAATTACCTGGGTTGCAGGTTCCATTCCCCACCCTGCCCAGGGTCGTGCAGGAGGCAACCAGTTGATGTGTCTTTCTCACATTGATGTTTCTCTCTCTCACCCACCCTCCCTCCCACTCCATCTGAAAGTCAATAAAAAATATCCTCGAGTGAGGAAAAGAAAAGGAAGAAAGGGAGATCAATTACAAGGAAACTTAGCACTGGTTCTCTCTTTTTTTTTTTTTTTTTTTTAATCCTCATCTGAGGACATTTTTCCATTTTTTGTACAGATAGAATGGGAGGGAGAGAGAGGAAGAGAGAGAGCGAGAGAAACATCGACGTGAAAGGGACACATCGAGTGGCTGCCACCCTCACGACCAACCAGGGCCGGGGACAAACTGCAACCGAGGTACATGCCCTTAGCGGGAACCGAACCCGGGTCTCTCCGGACCGCAGGCCGACGCTCTAACCGCTGAGCCAAACCGGCCAGGGCTGCACTGGTTCTCTTTTAGCCCTCCTACCTTTAAACTTCTGCAATTATTTAGAGAGTCTTCCCTTTAAGAACTGAGAGATAGGTCCTGGCCGGTTTGGCTCAGCAGTTAGAGCATCAGCCTACAGACCAAAGAATCACAGGTTTGATTCTAGTCAAGGGCAAGTACCTCGATTATGGTTCAGTTTCTGGCCCTGATTGGGGCCTTTCGGGAGGCAACCAATCGATGTGTCTCTCTCACATCAATGTTCCTCTCTCTCTCCCTCCCTCCCTCCCCCCTCCCTTCTTCCCTCCCTCCCTGCCACTCTATCTGAAGATAAATGGAAAAATATCCTCCAGTAAGGATTAAAGAAAAGAATTGAGAGGTAGGAAAATTATTTTTTTTTCTACTTTTCCCTTTCATGTAAGTATTACTTCACTATATATCAACGTATGCAAGCTGCTGTTAAGTTAAAATGATGCCCGGCTGGTGTGGCTCAGTGGTTGAGCATTGACCCACGCACCAGAGGTTGCTGCTTTTATTCCCCATCAGGGCATGTGCCCAGGTTGTGGGCCAAATCCCCAGTGAGGAGGCATGCAGGAGGTGGCCAATGGATGTTCTCTCTCATCGATGTTTCTATCTCTCTCTCCCTCTCCCTTCCTCTCTCTCTCTCAAATCAATAAAGAAAAAAGAATGAAAAGAAACATAAAATGAAGCCCTGGCCAGTATGGTTCAGCGGTTAGAGCATTGGCCCGTGGACCAAAAAGTCTCGGGTTCTAGTCCAGTTAAGGGCACGTATCTCAGTTGCAATTCATCCCCCCTGGCCCTGGTCAGTGTCATGCAGGAGGCAACCAGTCAATGTGTCCCTCTCATGTCAATGTTTCTCTCTCTCTCCCTCCCTCCATCCCACTCTATCTGAAGATAAATAGAAATATATCCTCGGGTGAGCATTAAAAAAAAGTTTTTTTTAAAGTTAAAATGAGGCCTGGGAAAACAGATATTTAACACAACATAGATCAGGATCAAGTAAGTTTCTCAACTGGAAATAATCAAATCTAAATGCCCATCAAGAGGAAGACTTAGATAAATCATTGAACATCCATACACTAGTATATTATATAGCTATAAGAAGGAAAAAAGATTCTTTTTTTATTTAATTTTATTTATTTTTTATTCCTCACCCGAGGATATTTTTCTATTTACCATCAGATAGAGTGGGAGAGAGGTAGAGAAAGAGACAGAGAGAAACATCGATGTGATAGAGCCACATCGACTTGTTGCCTCTGTGTCACACGACCCGACCAGGGCCGGGGACGAACCACAACCGAGGTATATGCCCTCGACCGGAATCAACCCTCAACTCATTGGTCCGCGAGCAGACGCTCTAACCGCTGAACCAAACCGGCCAGGGCAGAAAAAGGATTCTTTATATACTGATATGGAAAAGCCTTTAAAACAAATTAGAGGATAAAAGCAAACTGAAGAATAATGTGTTCAGAATACTGTCATACATATAAAAAAGGGTAGATATGCCATACATATAAAAAGAATAGGTATGTGTGTGTGTAAATTTATTTGCTTGTATATCCAAAAAATATCTCTAGAAGGATGCACACAAATACTATATCATTAGCTGCCAGTGAGGGAACTGGATGACTGGGGCATAGAGGTGGAAAGGAGACTTTTTAACGATTTCCCTTCCATATTTTTTGAAAATTTTTATAATGTGAATCTTTTATCAATTCAAAATTAGAATCTTGAAATCTATATCTTAAAAATTTTAGTAAGAAAATTTTTGCAATATAATATTCACACTGAAAAATGCATAAGTATATGGCTCAATGAATTTTCACAATGTTAAAATATCTATATAATCAGTATCCTGAACAAGAAATAATACCAATACGGACATTAAAAAAGTCTCTTGGCCAGTTTGGCTCAGCAGTTAGAGCGTCGGCCTGAGGTCCAGAGAGACCCGGGTTCGGTTCCCGCTAAGGGCATGTACTTCGGTTGCAGTTTGTCCCCGGCCCTGGTTGGTTGTGTGGGTGGCAGCCACTCGATGTGTCCCTTCATGTCGATGTTTCTCTCTCTCTCTCTTTCCTCTCTCTCCCTTCCGCTCTATCTGTACAAAAAAAATGGAAAAATATCCTCGGGTGAGGGTAAAAAAAAAAAAAAAAAAAGTCTCTTGCCCCACAAATTGGTAACCACTATTCTGACTTCTAAAACCATAGGGTTATTTGCTTGTTTCTAAAATTAGCAAAAATAAAATGATACACTATATTCTCTTTTGTGTCTGGCTTCTTTCATTTTCTATTTACCATCAGATAGAGTCCATATGTTTGTAAGATTCATCATGTATTAAGTAAAACAACAGTTCTTTCCTATTCTATTGTAAGAATATGCTACAATTTATTTATCCTTTTTACTGTTGGTAGAAATTTGGGTTGTTTCCAGTGTGGGGCCATTATGAATAATAGGATTACTGCCAATGTTCTTGTATGCATTTCTTTTGGGGATATACCTAGAACCTGAACTACTGAGTTACAGATTATGCGTATGTTCATCTCTTTTTTTTTGTTTAAATTTTTTTCCCTTTATTGATTTTAGAGAGAGAGGAAGTAAAAGGGAGAGAGAGATAGAAACATCAATGAGAGAGAACATCGATTGGCTGCCTTCTGCATGCCCCCCACTGGGGATCGAGCTCACAACCTGGGCATGTGTCCTGGCCGGGAATCGAATTGGTGACTTCTTGGTGCATGGGTCTATGCTCAACCACTGAGCCATACCGGCCAGACCATATGTTCATCTTTAATAAATATTCTCAAACAGTTTTACAAAGTACTTTCCAATTTAGACCCCCACCAGAGTGAGTGAGAGTTCTAATTGTTCTACCTTCTTGCTAACACTTAGGAAACTTAGTATAGTCAGGTTTTCTAGTTTGTTTTAGCCATTCCATGAAGTAGTAATGAATTAGGTTTTAACTTGCATATTCTTGAAGTCTATTGAGCCTGAGGACCTTCCCATATGTTCATTAGCCATTTGGATGCTCTTTTGTAACTGCCTATTCAAGTATTTTGCCCATTTTTTAGATTGGGTCATTTGCCTTTCTCTTATCAATTTGAAAAGGTTCTTTCTGTATTATTGGTATGATCCTTTGTTAAATATACATGCTGCAAATATCTTCTCCCTTTTGGTAGTTTTCTCTTTTACTTTTTTTTATTATTATTATTCATTTGAAAGAGAGAAAAACATTGATTTGTTGTTCCACTTATTTATGCATTCAGTAGTTGATTCTTGTGTGTGCCCTGACCAGGATTGAACCCACAGCCTTGATGTATTGGGATGATGCTCTAATCAACTGAGCTACCCAGCCAGGGATGTATTTTCTTTGTTTTTGTTTTTTTCTTTTCTTTATTGATTTTACTTTTTATTTTAATTTTGATTTTTAAAATACATTTTTATTGATTTTTTAGAGAGAGAGGAAGGGAGAGAGAGAGAGAGAGAGAGAGAGAGAGCTAGAAACATCGATGTGAGAAAGAAGCATCGATCAGCTGCATCCTGCACACCCTCCACCGGGGATAGGGCCTGAAACCTGGGCATGTGCCCTGATCAAGAATTGAACTGGGACCTCTCAGTCCATGGGATTATGCTAAATCCACTGAGTCACACCAGCTGGGCTCTTGACTGATTTGAGAGAGAGAGAGAGAGAAAGAGAAAGAAACATCAATTGGTTGCCGCCTGCATGCGCTCTGACAGGGGATTGATTCCACAACCTGGGTATGTGCCCTGACCAGGAATTGAACCTGCCACCTTTTGGGGCGATGCTCCAACCAACTGTGCCACACCAGCCAAAGCCCCTTCTCTTTTTAATGGTGCATTTTGATGAGCAAAAGTTCTTATTTTTAATGTAATTCAATTTATTCATTCTTTTATGGTTATAGTGATTTTTGTGTCCAGTTTAAGAAATCTGTCTACCTTAAGATCATGAAGATATTCTATTCTTGGATGTTATCTT